GACATTAAAGGAGAATCACAACTCTAAGGTCATCAGCCCACTCTCTCCTATTAGTAAGTTTTTGGTTCTCAGTGCCCTTATGTATCTATTCCTCAAATGACTGGTTTAGAGAGATATTGGCTTTATACCTGGTTGTAGACTTTTCCCAACATTAAATTGTGCTGTACCTAACAGCATCTCACAAGGTTGTCCAATGTTAGACTCTTGAGACTTCTGGAAAATCATATATGTACACTGAGTGGCCAGATTATTATGACCACCCCATCAGTACTTCGTTGGGCCACGAGATGACTCCACGAGATGACTTTGTTGGGCCACGAGATGACTTTGTTGGGCCGCCTTGTAACTCCACGAGATGTTGAAAGGTTATGCGAGGAATCTGACACTGCACTGTTGCCCTTCTGTTGTCTTGTACCAGTCTTGCCACTCTCCGTTCTGCCCTAACATTGACTAGTCGCTGACGGCCACAATTCACACGTTCAGACCCGGCTGACAGTCCAGTCTTTAAACACTTTAACAACAGCTGCTCTTGAACATTTAACGAATTCTGCTGTTTGGCTGATACTCGCTCCATGGCTCCAAGCGCCAACAATCATCCCACGTTCAAAGGCTGTTAAATCACGTTGTTTACCCATATCTTCAGAAACAAATCACTTCTACTGTCGTGGTAAACAACCTGCTTCCCTATTTATAATGGTCTGGCCCTCTAGCAACTTCAGCGCAAAATTATAGCTAATTATAGTTAATTTGCCTACAAACGTCAGGTGGTCATAATAAACTGGCCACTCAGTGTATATGCATACTGTACAACCCCTTGGATAACGCCTGCATCATTAGACTTTCCTACTAGACTACAGAAAGTATGAATAAAACATATCATAACCAAGACGTTCATAGCTTAATAGAAGTAAAGCTAATACAGTAGATGACTTTTCTTTATCAGTGCCTTAACCTATAATGATGCATAATGTTCTCGCGCCTAATGGCTTCACAAATCCTACAGTCCATTAAGCTACAGATCCCTCTTCTTAGTGTTGTCAGTCCATGTGGCAACAGGAAATTGGTCCTCAGGCTTGCCTGACAAAATAGAACCATCTGGAGCATCAACAGTAACCGCTGTCTCTGCAAATTAATGAAGTTTTACTACCAGCTGCTGTTGCAACAGAGGCACGGTCAGGCAGACCTGGTAGCATGTTCTATATCATCAACTGGAGAAACGGAAAGTAAGATTTGATTTTATGAAATCTATCGTCACTATTTAAGTAAAACAAGTCTTGGAAACTAGTTAACTGCCCTCAGAAAAGCAAATGGGGAAAAAATTGTCATGTATAGCATTGTTCATTTTAAAAAGCCCTATCATTATGTGAAAGCAGTGATGCACTTAAAGAAGAACACTGAGTAATGAAAAAAACTTACCTTGCAGTGGGGCTACCCCAGCACTCTAAGGGTTAAGTGCTTGTTTTGTCTAGGGGACAGTTTTAATATTTCATTACTTACCTGATCCTCACTCCTGCTGGCTTCCTCTGGGCTGCTAAATGGGACCCTGCAGCATCTTCTCCCCTTCGCTCCAGCGGTCTAAGTACCCCTGAAGTCATCACGTCTTGGGCAGGTCTATAGACATGAGTACGCCAAGGGACATTCTAACATCAGGAGCAGAAGGGGAGAGGGTTGAGTGCTGAGATCAGGTGAGTAAAACAGCTGTATCTGAGTCCCCCAGAGAAAATGAGCACTTCAGGTAGCCCCTGTGGGGGCTCACAGCAAAAGTAGATTTTTTCTTTGCCCGGAGATCCTCTTTCTTATAGAACTTTAGCCATAGAATAGGAAAGGTTAGATCCTCAGATTCTTATTGCTGTCTGTGGCACCAGATTTTTCTCATCACTACAGTTGAAAACAATTAATTTGTGCCCATCGACTATTAGAAAATGAAACAAACTTCAAAAAGAACCATTTACCAACGCAATTCTAGACATGTATGGCTATTTTAGACTCAATTTTATATTGCTGTTTTCATACTCTTTGTGAAGGTTCATCTCACTGTCTGCCTGAATGGCTGTGTTTACCAGCATAGAAAGCAAGAGAAATATCCCAATGGGAACCCAGGCAGCAGTAAATACCAGGCAGATCCCCAAACTGCTTTTCCAATCTATTCATAAATAAGAAAAACGTTTCTCTGTGCTTTGTGTTTTTCCCATAGCGTCTTATGTCTAGGGGTGCTGCGTACTTACCTGATCCCCGCCCTTCCTTTACACAATACCACTAGACAAAAACAAGCAGTTATCCATTGCATTGCGGGAGTGGGGATCGGGTAAGTAAAAGTCCTTTACACAATACCACTACAGAAAAACCAGCAATTATCCATTGCGTTGTGGGCTTTGGGACAGGGCCGCATTTCCCACAAGACCAACGGAGGCCTGGCCTCAGGGCAGCAGGGAGTAGAGGGGCAGCAGGGGTGTGGAATTCCTATCTCCTGACACCAGGGACATGCAGTTCCGGGCGCCGGGCGGGTAGTTGTTTTCCACATTTAGTCCTGCTTTGGACAAGCAGAGCTAAATGTAGAACGGGGAAGCCGCCGCTTGTTTTGTACAAGTGATAATAAAATAAAAAAGGAAAAAAAAACCATCCCTGCTGCCCCACGGGGAGGGGGCACATCAAGGAACCTGGCCTCGGGCAGCAGATAGAGTAAATCCGGCCCTGCTTGGGGATCAGGTAAGTAAAAGTCCTTCACACAATACCCCTAGACAAAAATGAGCAGCTAACAATGGCAGTGCATGGGTAGCCTCACTGCTAGGTTGTTTCTTTTTTTAACCATGCAGGGGGTTTTAACTCTTGATCAAAATTATAGCCACTTATCCCAAGAAAGCTTATACCACTGATGGATCCTGTTCTTGTGCCAGGTAATAATTCATTTTATCACTATTGATTATTCTCTTTCCTAACACACATATTTCTGGGAAAGCAAAGAGCAGAACAAAAATAGACTTAGTTCATATAATGCTTGGGCACTGGCACTTGGCACTGTTAGCTGCTAAATTATCCCTGTACTTGTGAGGACCTCAGTGTCAATAAAGAATACTGCATCCCGATATATTTCTCAGTTGTAATTTAATTAATAGTGCATTAAACAATATTATATTCAAATGGTCAACTAGAGCTCGCCATACTGTACATGGTTAGAATTTTGTTTAAAAAAATGATCACTTTCTAATAGTTGATGGGTACAAATTGGTGATCGTTTTTGACTGTAGTGACGAGAAGAATTGAAGGCCGGGGTTGGAAAATGCACAGCCGCGACATGCCAAGGTGAATTAACGCCTGTGCGCATGTGCAGGAGTTGTCATTGGGACACGGCTAATCAAGTGTCCAAACACTTGAAACCTGGAAGTAGACCAGAGAGAAGATGGAAGCACCGGCAAGGGAGGAACGCAATGCTGGAGGGGATTGCATTGGCAGGTAAGTCTGCCATAATGTGCTAATATGCTGTGCACATTAGTATATTATGGCTTAAAGATCTAGGGGGGCATTCTTTTTTCAGCCTGAGTCAATGAAGTGTCATTTTTTACTTTAATATCAACAGTTTTTAGGATAAAATACAGCAAAATTAATTTTATTGCACAGACACAGAATATAATACCCAATTTTTTGGTAAAATATTAAAGATTGGGTTGTGTCGGTTAATGGGATACCAAACATGTCGAGCCTTAAAATTGCATGCACCTGTGAAATCGCAAAAAAAACCTACAATACCCATAGCTGTTACTGCTCATCAATTTAGTGTTAACAATGATTGATGACCCTGGAATTATTACTCTCACTCGTTTGTGGTGATATGTAACATGTGTGGCGCAATCATCGTTGTTGCACACGGGCACGCTTGACCCATGTATCAGATTGCGTGTGATTGGATTGTAATTTTTTCTTTACTATCACTTTAAAGTGACACAAAATCAGGAGTTAAATCTTAAAAAATCATTCTAGTATCTGAACTATTAACAAAAATGTATCGTATTTGTGTATCACTCGGCTGTAGATTCTCAAATCATCTCTGAATTGGTGCTGACACTGTCCTACCTTCTGGAGGGTGGCTACTTTTCTCCCCTATGGTCCCTGTGTGTGTTGTAAAGTAGCCACCGCTCCAAGCTCACTCCCGTGATGGACGGGGCTCGATTTACTCTCTCTGCTGCCCCAAGGCAAGGTACCTAAATGTATTTTTAAGATTTAACTCCTGAATGATTGAAATGTAATTTTTGACTTTAATATCACTTTAAATGTGAGTCATAGGAGTGTCATTTTTGACTTAAATATCCCTTGAACTCTGAATCATTGAAGTGTAATCTATTTGCTATTGTTGTCTTGTGTTTCCTATTTTATTTGCATGATTTGATGGTGAAGGAAGGCTGAGCTGGCCATGTTGTGTTATGTGATGAAGGAAGAGATGAGTCTTGTGTATTGTGGGTAGGACTGATTGGTGTTAGGTTAGCCTGGCATGTGACAGCTCTGGTGTGTGTGGAGTGTGATGGCAGTGTGGAGTAATCAGCATTCCTGACATTGTATATCCAGCCCCTGGGAGCGGATACATAGCAGCAAAGTTAGAGCAGAGCCTCTGCCTCCGTCTTCCTGCCAGTGCTGTGCAGGGAGCAGCATGTGGGAGAGAGGGAGGTCCAGTGTGCTCAGTAACACAAGACATCTCCAGTCAGCCAGGGGGTGGGAAGCAAGAAGTTGAAGCGGACACGTAGCCTGCCATCGCCCTCATCTAACAGCATCTCCGTCTTCATCGGACATCTCCTCATCATCTAACATAACGGATCGCAGAGATCACCATCCTGTGCGGCTGGATGCAGCTCTAGGAGAAGCCCTGATGGAAGTTGTCAGACAAGTTAGAAAGTAACAGTGGAAACAAGAGCGGCTCCGATGTCACTGCCACCTATGTAACTGACACCGATCTAGTTACATGCCAATCCGATCAGCCCTGGCACCGTAGAGATCGGACATCTGGGCACATCAGGGGCGATCTTGAGGAATCGTGTGCTGCCACGTTGTAGCGGATCGTGTTGGGATGTGGGTGCCAGGGTCTGCAGGAGGCTGAGGATGGCATCGGCTGTGTTTGAGGGCACCTCCCTGGTGAACATGTTCGTTAAAGACTGCTGGGTTAATGGGATCAGGAGACTGATCATAAACCGGAAAGGAGACGAGGAGGAATTCTTCGAGATCAGGACTGAGTGGTCGGATAGGAATATTTTGTATCTGCACCGGAGTTATTCGGATCTTGGGAGGCTCTTTAAGAAGCTGCTTGAGTCATTTCCTGAAGATCATGGGGAGCTGTCACAGTCATCTCTGCTGGAAGGTTGGTGGAAAGGCCACACAGTGGCTCACAGTCTTATGTCTAGCCCGTCTTACTCTCATACTCTGTACTAGACCCCAAGGGTTTTTAGGCCATAATGAACATTTATTTTTTTTGTATGCTTTTCAGGATTGAGTGTTTTCATTTTACTAGTTATTGGGAGGAAGAGGCACTCCTTACATGCACAACTGCACAGAAAATGCACGCTTTTAAGGCGCTCCTATCATAGTCTATGGTCAGAAATACACTATTCCCCCCCCAAAAAAAGGCTTACGTACTTTTTCAAGTGAGACAACACTCAAGGACACCATTGAAAATAATGGGATTCTTTATCTTGAGCCTGCATTGAGAAAAAGCGCAACAAAACGCTCAGGTGTGAATTTTCAGGGTGCCATGTGTACACCTGAGCGTTTTGTCATGCGATTCCCAAAGATGAAGCATCCCATTCTTTTCTATGGCAGCTTTTGTAAAGCTTTTTTCAGTCACAGCACCCTTTAAAAGTATGCAAAATCTTGAGGCACCCCAAGATAAAATGTCATAGATTTTAAGAAAGACCCCATGCAAAAACACAAAAAAGGATTTTTCCCCTTCACATTGAAGTGCCCCCTGCAAATCAACATTCCCCCCCTTTATCCTGTTATCCGCAATGGGCCCATTCACACCTGCGCATTTTGTCTTGCGATTCCCAAACATAAAGCATCCCATTCTTTTCTATGGCAGCTTTTGTAAAGCTTTTTTCAGTCACGGCACCCTTTAAAAGTAGGTGAAATCTCGAGGCCCCCCAGGATAAAATTTCATAGATTTTAAGAAAGACCCCATGCAAAAACACAAAAAATGTTTTTTCTCCTTTACATCGACATCCCCCCTTCAAATCAACATTCCTCCCCTTTATCCTCAATGGACCCTTTCACACCTGAGCATTTTGTCTTGCGATTCCTGAAGCGCAACAACACTCAGAATAAGGAATCCTATTATTCTCAATGCACCTGTTCACCTGAGTGTTTTGTCATGAGATACCTGAAGCGCAACGATACTCAGGGTAAAGAATCCCATCATTCTCAATGGGCCCATTCACACCTGAGCATTGTGTCACTTGTCTGCTGTGTGAAGCTCGAAAAAGCTGAACATTTGCGGCAGAATTGTGCGTTTTTGGCCCTGTAGACTTTTATGGGAGGGCATGAGAAATGTGGGTTTACATGCATTTGTTTTAGGCACACCCACTTAAAAGTCTATAGGACCAAAAATATAAGATTCTGCTCTTGTACTACAAATTGCATGTTAAACCGTGCGGAAAACAAGTGCAAATGTGTATAAAAAGCCTCTAAATGGCCTGGCTTCGCTCACAGTTAGGTGTAAATGGGGCAGCTTGTGATTAGTCACAATACCTGAAAAGCTACAGGTTACCTTTTTGTGTTCTTTACAGTATAAAGCTAAACAACATGATTTAGTGTTATTAGTTAGCGCCCATTTACAATCAAACGCTGCGCTAATTGTCCCTGCACGATGCAGAAGAGCTAATCCCAGCACATTGCACGTGTACTTTTTTTGTTAAAACTTTATTGAAATGTCACAAGTGACATTTCATACAGATATGTGCGCACATCGGTTGTACAAAGTCGTTGTACCGCGTCACCCCTCTGCACTGAAAAAAAGTACAGCATGAAGTACTTTATTCAGCACACACCACCATGGTGGTCGCAATGTTGGTGGTGTAAACCAATCCAGTCTGTGACAAAGCAAACTGCCTTGTCTTGCATTAGGCCCAATCCAGAGCAGCGGTCCGATCCGGTCCGCCTGTCAGTTTTTCAGCCGGACCCGATTGGACGCTCTATGCAAGTCTATGGGCAGTCGCATTTAAACGTACGAGCGTCCGTTTACATACTGTTAGCCCCGGCTCGGTCCGGTAAAACAGACGGATCATTAATCCGTTTTCACAAACTGGATCGTGCCGGACCGGCGGTAATGTGATATAAACGGACACATGTCCGTTCACATCAGATTCCCCATAGACTTGCATGGGGTCTGGCACTTTCAGTTTTTTGTACGGACATGTATGTCTCAGAGGTGTTACATCCGCTCCGTACCACTCTGATCAGGAGAGGATCTGTTGACGGATCCTCTCCTGATCGGCCCGTGTGAAAGGGGCCTTAGGGCTGCGCTGGAAACAATGGCCAGCGCAGCTCCAGCGCTGATGGTGTGAACTGGCCCTTATACAGTAGTTATGAAGTAGAGCTTCCTGACAACTTCTGCACACTAAAAAAAAAGAATTCATATCACATAGCTGTGAGCCATCATTTCCGATTTCTCACAGGTTTTGTTGCATTGATCTGTCATCACTTTTTTCTGGAATTTAGTGGAATTTAGAATAAAAACCGTACAAGTAAGCAACTATATTTGAGTCATTGCAGTTCCCCTTTTAAAGGATTGCAACTAGTACTAAAAACACAATCTGAAACAGGATGTGTAAGTAGTTCTAAACCCAACCACTAAAATCTCATATCAGCTTTAACACTTCATTGTCAGTTCAAAAGTTGTTTTTGATTATTTTAAATCTGCAGCTTTCATTAAAAGACTATCTAGTGATCCCGCCATGAAGGTCCTTGTTCAAGTACTTCCTGTTGTGGTGACAAATGTCTCCCAACTGTGCCTCTGCGTTGTCATTATGTCACAGGCACCCATGGTGCAGACTTTAAAAGATTGTGCTGACACACTGAGCAGGCATGATCCACCATTGTCACTATGAAAAAAACTGGTCCATAGCAATCATGTGCAATAAGGCTGAAGTGAGTGCATGTAGACAGGAAGTGGCTGAAGGAAGCTGAAGAAGATCAGCAGCAATGAGATGAATAAAAACAAAATCAGACAGTAGTGTTATATGGAAGAAGAAACATGGAAATTGTTTATGATACATAGTGCCTTAGGAAACTAAACATCACCCAGTTGGGTTTAGTTTACTTTCAGCTACGTTCACACTAGGCCGCTCCGTTTTAGTTGTGACAGGCCCAGCAGTGTGTGCAGTGTTGAGCACATCACACTGTTTTTTTATTTTTTTAAAATAACTTTATTTGGAGTGTACACTCCATTCAGGTCCCCACACAACAGCGCAGGGTGCTGTGACTTGTGGTGCCATCCAGTGCACTGAGGAAAAAAGCAACATGTCTGCAGTGGCTATGTTCACATATAATGGTGTTGACCAGCGCTCTTCTGCACAAGAAAAACACAGGTCACCGCTGTATGTGTGAACGCAGGCTACATTTTTGTAACCTTTAAAGGAGAACTATGGGGTTCTATCTTTTCTTTATTAATGCATTCCTTAGGCTAAATAAGTAAATTATGTAATTTACTCTAATTAGCCAAAATGCACAGTAAGGCTGTAAACCCTTATTTAAGGTGGTGGGCGGGGCTAAGCGCCGCAATGAGGAGACATCCCGACGTATCTGACGGGATCCTCCCCACTTCCTCACTGTGACTGACAGTGATTCTTGAGAGCTGCTGCGCGTCTACGAATATATGGACATGCACAGCAGCTCTCTCCTTACCTGCACGTCCCCGTGTGCCAGCCGGGCTCCTTCCCCCCTCTCTCTCTCTCCCTGCCCTGTGTCACACTGACATACTAAAAAGATCGTGGATCGCTGATGACAGAGGGGAAGGAGCCCTCTCTCTCTCTTCAGCATTTACTACAAATGGGAACGTCCATATATGCTGCAGATCGGATGCTTGCCAGTCTGCAGGGATCCCCAGTGACATCATTCACCATATATGGACTTGCCCAGAGAGAGAGGGCTCCTTCCCCTCTCTCATCAGCGATCCCCAGTGAATTGAGGATGTCAGCGTCACACAGGGCAGGGAGAGAGAGAGAGGGGAAGGAGCCTTCTCTCTCTCCATCATTTACCACATATGGGCAAGTCCATATATGATGAATTATGTCACTGGGGATCCCTGCTGATCGGATGCTTGCCAGTCTGCAGGGATACCCAGTGACATCATTCACCATATATGGACTTGCCCATTTCTGGTAAATGATGGAGAGAGGGATGGCTCTTTATCCTCTCTCTCTCCCCCTGTGTTATGCTGACATCCTAACTACTGGGGATCGCTGATGAGAGAGGGGAAAGAGCACTGAATGTGCAGGGAGGCTGAGTCCGTCTCTTGCTGCTGCCTTCTCACTTCAGACTCCGCCTCCCGCTCACAAATGCCAGCGTGCACGAGCTGACAAAACACAGCTGTGCACGATGAGAGGAAGCGCGGCCACAGCAATGAGATCATTTGAAAAAAAAGCCGTGGGCGAGCTGGATCAAATGTTAACGCCCCCTAAGAGGAAAGGAGCTTGGAGCAGGGTTGAAGACGGCCATTTACTACAGGTTTTGAGGGTTTTATCTGTGATGTGCTGCGACTTTAGAAAAAAGTAACGATTCTACTACAATCAAGGTAAGGGGTATTTTTATTTGCCCTTAAGTCATAGTTCTCCTTTAAAAAACAACAAAATGTCGAAACCTGAACCTTCATTGCTGAAATAGGTCACAGCAGCAACACACAGCTTTGGTGTGGATAACCAGGATATGGACATACGGCCTCAGTGCTATTGTTCAGCTATGACAGTTTTGACATCTATGTAAATGAAGGGAGCACCTGCTTAGTACATAGTTACATAGTATTTGAGGTTGAATAAAGGCACAGCTCCATCGAGTTCAACCTTTATGTGTCAGTGTGTGTGTAATGTGTGTGTATATGAGTCCCTTGGGGTCTAAGGTTTTAAGAGTACCTGTACCCCTCTATATATTACGGTCTCCAGCAGCCCATAGATTTGAGCAGTGGAAGCTCAGGGTGATGTCACCGCACTTGTAGTCCATTGACATTTCCTCCTGTCCATGATACTGAATGTCTGTGCCTTGGTAAGGCCATGGACGGGAGGAACACTCTGCAGGAGTCAGAGCATTGCACCCATGATCTACTGATCGCAAATGCTTTCCTGGCTCTGATGCAAAAAATAATAAATGCTGTTT